CGGAGGCTGCGTTGACACGGAGGCTGCGAGGCTGCGTTCCTCCACTTTCTCCACGGGGCACCAGGCATTAATTAAACCCTGGGATGAGCTAGGCGTTGGACGGGGTGATGTGGTGGGCTGAAAAAGCTGCCTCTACAAGATCCCCGGGTCCTAATCGCTGGAACCTGGGAAAGGGGTCTTTGCAAAAGGGGTCTTTGCAGATGGGATAAATTCCGGGTCTTGAGATGAAGATGTTACCCTGGATTATCAGGCGGGCGCCTAGCTGCCCTAGATGTCCTGATAAGGAGGCAGAGGCAGATTGCCTCGACGGAGCAGGAGGATGTGATCACAGAGGCAGGACTGGAGTGATGTGGCCACAGGAATGTCTGGGACCCGGGCAATCTGGAAGAGGCAAGGAAAACAGATTCCTTCCTAGAACCCGTGACCACCGACACCTTGACTTTGGCTCAGGGGTACTTGTGAGGATGGAAAAGGGCCTTTGTTTGTCTTTGCTGTGGCCTTCCACAGTTCATGGGAAGCACCTGGTAATTAAACCCCAAGATTGGAGGCACCTCTGATTCAAATAGCCCCTCTGTTCACACTGCAAGGCAAGACAAGCTACTCTCAAGGCTACATTCTTGCACACGCCTCCTCCCTGCTGTTCTCACAACTCAGGGATAATTCGGACCAAGAAGTCTCCAGTAGAAGTTCCTTGCCCCCTCCCTCCCCTTCAGACAAGCCTCTTTTGAACTCTTCCTACCTTTTGCTCTGAGCGTGTTTTATAGGCCTGAGAAAAAATACTGATAAGACACCTCCCTAGGACATCTGTCTGGACCAGGGGTCCTCAAACTACGGCCCACAGGCCACATGCGGCCCGCCAAAAACATTTGTTTTTTTACTTCAACATAAGATATGTGCCGTGTGCATAGGAATTTGTTCATAGTTTTTTTTAAAAACTACAGTCCGGCCCGCCAACGGTCTGAGGGACAGTGAACTGGCCCCTGTTTAAAAAGTCTGAGGACCCCTGGTCTGGACTGTCCCCTGAGGAACTAAGGAAGACAACCCTGCTGTCTGCTCAGTTTCACCGCCCTCCTCGTCACCTAGCAACAGCTGCCATGCCTCTTAAAAGTGGAAACGCCTTTTGTTTCTTTCCCTGTGCTGATTAGCACTGCATCAAAGTAAAAAGCAAAGAAATAGACAAACTTTCTCTCTGCACCTGTCTCTTCTCTGAGCTGTGAATTCTTTCACTGCCCCCATCACCAGTCAAACCCTACCAGCACTGATTTGGGGCTTTTCTCCAGGACTGGGGGAGAACACATTTTTATTGTCTCCAGCCACACCGTCCGTGGCACTTCCTCCAGCAGCCCAGGAAGGTCACACAGGTGGGGACGTCCCTTGGAGCCCTGGGCAGCCGCCTGGCCGGTGCTTCTGGCTGAGGACCGTGATGAAACAGTTGTCCTGGCTCTGCCCTCGCTTCCTGATCTGTCACGCGGAAGGTGGTGCAAGGACACATCCTGACGACAAGGATTACACGGGCACGGACATCAGTGACATCTGATGGCGGAAGGGGTCCTAAGGAAAGTGACCTCACAGGTGATCTGACCTGAACCCCTCACTGGGCAGCGCATGGTGGGGAACCAACGGCTCACCTTTGCCTACAGCAAGGCCTGTCCATCGTGTCTGTGCGTCCGGGTGAGCACACCTTTAAAATACGTCTTAACCGCCCGCAAGAGAGCAGACTCTGGTTAACCTTCCTGTGATCCCATCCCCACCCGCTTTCTCCCACCTTCCTGGAATCTTCCTCACCGTCCCCGCGTGGACCCCAGGAAAGAGGACACCTCCGGGGAAAGGACTCCGCGACTCACAATTAAAAGCAGAGCCCGGCAGCCATTTCTGCACAGCGGCCTCTCAGCAAAGGGCTCAGGGGGCCGCCTGTCCCCCGCTGCCGCCTGCCCTGAGCTCCTGCCACCTGAGTCAGCAGCCCTTGCCAGCGGCTCCCAACCTCTCTCACCCACAGCGTTACTGGCAGGGCCCTGGCACGGGACTGCCCGGGGCCGGCCTGTGGCGTGTGGGTCCTTGACTCGTGCAGGACAGATGTCACAGTCCAAGTCCAGGTGGGTGTGAGAGGAAGGTTATTACAGTTGGGACACTGAAACAAGGAAGGGCCCAGGAGAGAAGAAGCCACAGAAGAGGAACTGGGAGGGGAAATGAGCCCGGGCTGGGCGGGGCTGCTCTGGCTCCCTGGGAAGTCAGAGGAGGGGGACCTGGGGGCAGGGGTGAGCCCAGGACGAGCTGCTGCTGCCCACTGCTCCCCTGTTTGCAAGTCTCCTGGGGTCCCTTGGAGTTTGGGAGATGCGTGCCTGTGGGGGGAGGGGAGGGCACGGGCGTGCGCCCTGGAGGGAGACAGGCTGGGACGAAGGCCCTGAGCAGACGCAGTGAGATGGTCACCTGCCAGCGAGGAAGGAGCCTCCGGAGAGGCCGGCCCACTGGTGCCCACTCGCAGCCTCTGGAGTGAGAGAACACATGTCTTGTTGGAGCGCCAGCCGCGGGCTTTGCTACGGCAGCCCCAGCGCCCTCGCAGGGAGGCCGGCAGCCAAACAAAAACAGCCCAGCAGCCGGTGTGACTCAGCAGCTGAGCCTCAACCTGTGACTCAGGAGGTCAGGGATGGATTCCCCTTTGGGGCACAGGCCCAGGTAGCCGGCTCCATCCCCAGTGGGGAGCGTGCAGGAGTCAGCCGATCCATGATTCTCTCTCCTCCCTCTTCCTTCCTCTCTCTAAAATCAATAAAATAATAAAAAGAAAAGGAAATGGAAGCATTGTTGATGACTAAGGTCTCCGGAGGCAAGTCTGCTTCCCCATGTTCCAGACACACGTGGGGAGCAGCTGCTACACTGCTGCTGCTCCAGCCCTTCCTCCTCCCCACGCCCTCCCCACGCCCCCGCAGCACCCTCTCCCTGCTGCCTCGCCCCTGCGCTCCCACCTGCCTGCACCCTGTGGTCCCCTGGCTGGGTTAGGCTTGGCGGCGCCCCCTCTGCCGTGTCCCCACTAAGGTCTGCCCGCCTCACCCTCCCCCTTCCACTTCCAGGACATACCTCGGCCCACAGACTCCTCAGGGGACCCCGTCCCCGTCCTGGGAAACACAAGGCACCCACATCCGAGCCAAGGGAGCGAGGAGAGTGCGGCCTTCAGAGCCGTCACTTCCGGGGAGCGTGCCCGGAAGGTTGGGAACCTCACTACCTTTGACAGAAACCGCACTGCCTCTGCCGTACATCTGTGCATGTTGGTCGCTATTGGAAAGAACACGCTTGCTGGCCCACAGGCATCTTGTGGGCCCACAGACGAGGGGTCTCAGGTTCAGTTCTCAGGCAGGGGTGTGCACCTAGGTTGCAGGTTCGATCCCCGGCCCCAGTCAGGGCGCATCGGGGAGGCAACAATCGATGTGTCTCTCTCACATCCATGAGTCTCTCTCTCTCTCCTCCTCCCACCCTTGCACTCTCTCTCTCTCTAAATATCAATGGAAAAAATATCCTCGGGTGAGGATTTTAAAAAATAATAATTTCAGGTGCTTTTTAAAAAAAATACATTTTTATTGATTTCAGAGAGGGAGAGGAAGAGAGATAGAAACATCAATGATGAGAAAATCATGGATTCTGCCTCCTGTGCACATCCCCCACTGGGGGATTGAGCCCGAAACCTGGGCACATGCCCTGATGACAGGGAATGATACAGACGCTCTTTCCACTGGGCCCAGCTGGCTAGGCACATTTTAGGTGCTTTTGAAATGAAAGAAAAACCACCACCTTTGACCTTTTCGATATAATGGACAGCTGAAGCTGACTAGACAGTGAGAAAAACCAGCAGCATCACGGGAAAGCCAACGCCAAGAAAACAGAACAACACGTACTTTGCAGAAATTGTGTTTAAAACTAAATGGAGCAGACTAACACTTGCTGGGGTGCGAGAACGGCCAACATGGGGTACGCCAGCCTAAGGACACGGGGGAACCCCTAAGCATCCCGTCATCACTAATCGGTGACTTAGACCGTCTACCAGCCACAGCACGCGTGGACACGACGCCGATCGCAGCAGGAGGTCCGCGGAAGGGCAGAGGCTGGAGGCCCGGCCGCGTCAGCTGGGGGGGACATCAGCATTGCTGGCCGCGATGGCTCCCCAAGTGCGTTACTTGGACAGACTGACCCCCTAGAAACCCATTAGAAACGCCAAGTCTCAGGCCCCGCCCAGGCCTGGATGGGAACCCCCGGGTGAGGCCTGTGTTTTCGTGCTGGGACAAGCCCTGTGACGCAGAGTTCAAGAGCCACTCCCTAGGGACGTGGAAACCGTCCAGGGAGCAGCAGGCCGGGTGCCGGCTTCTGTGCTGCGACTGTCTGCGTCTGCAGGCATGAGGCCCCTGTGCGGTGCAGAGGCACCTGCGGTGGAGGTGGCCCCGCTCTGGGCGTGGCTCGGGTTCTGGGAGCCGCTGGGAGCCGGTGGGAACGCACCTGCTGAAAGGAGAAGTGGGGGGCCGAGATTTGCAGGAAGTGCAGCCTTTCGGTGGCGGCCTGTGGAGGCTGGAGGATGAAATTGCGGTGGTTGGGCCACGTGGTCCTTCAGGTTTTCTCTAGCAGAACTGGGCCTTCCCCCTGGGCCTTTCAGGCGTGAAAATAGCCAATAGTGAGCCCGGCTGGTGTGGTTCAGTGGTTGGAGGTCGTGGTTGAGGGCTGAAATAAAATATATATATATACTTTAAAGCCAACATCCATTGACCACCATATGCATTTATTGAACTCTACATGCATTGGTGAATGCAACCTCATCACAGCCCTATGGCCTGCAGGACTCAGTGTTCTTGGTGTGCACTCAGGCCTGAACGGTGCCCACGCGAGGGTGTAACCTGGCAGCTGGGAGGAAGAGATGGGAGACAAAGAGGGAGCCCTTTCCCTTCTTTATAAGGCATCCAGGGCTTCACCACCTCACTCACCCCAACCCCCATCTGAAGAACCACATTCCAGCACAGCACAGGTAATAAGACATCAGTTTGTGGGTAATAGTAAGGGACAGATGGGATGGCACCAGGGCCTAGTGATCAATTTCCCAGGAATAAACAGACAGACAGATAGGACTGCACAGACAGACAGACAGGACAGGAGAACAAAGCCAAGTGGGTGAGAGATCAGGCCCAGCTCCATATCTAGCTTTGCCCTGGGGGCCTGGGGGATGAACAGGCTGAAAGAGGCCTCAGTTCCTTTAGGGCCCCATCCCCTCACTCCCTCGTGTCCCTTAACAGCGGGTGGTATTTCTGGGGCCAGGGAATGGTTTGGGGATTAGGGAGTTGGAGGGGGAGGGGGAGGTCTGGATGGTGTGGGGTTAGCAGCAGCACTGAGGGGAATCAGGGACGGGACACCGCTCAGCAGGGCCCATGTGTCCAGGGCAGGCCCCCCACTCCGCCCATCACACCAACATGGTGCAATAAATAGTTTCAAGTAGTAAGTCAATGTCAGGCAGGAGAGAGCTGGAGACTGATGGACAGGCAGGGGCTTGGGGAGAGGGGCCCTCGCTGCCCACTGAGTCCCCTGAGTGGGCTCCAGCTGTACCAAGTCTGTCTGTGTGCACAGGCGTGGGCACCTGGCCCCCATGTCCATGTGGGCACTCCCTGCAGGGCTCAGCCCCTCACACCAGTCCCAACGCCTGCTTGGTGGGGCAGAAGCAGGGCAGCATGGTGCCCACAGCATCCACGATGGCTGCCAGGTGCTCGTCCCGTGCCTGGGGCCCACAGAGCTGCATGAAGTCTGCCAGGCGCAGCAAGTACTCAAGGTTGTGGCCGGAGAAGCCCTGGCAGGCCAGGATCTGTGTAGCAATGGCCCCCTCCAGTGCAGGGCCCAAGTACCCAGGGTTCTGTGGGGTGGCCACATAGGCCAATGCCTTGAGTGGTTGGTCAGGGGTATCTTGGGGGCAGAAGGTGACCTCCTTGGTATCATAGCCACCGAGCTCTGCTTCCCGCACATGCAGATACTTCAGAGCCTCGCTCACCTGTTCGTCTCGCACCTGGTATGCCACGCCCCAAGTGCAGCCCTCATGGTCTTCCAGAAGGGTCACCACTCGGCCAGGCATCTTGTCGCTGCCCCGATGGAAGGTGTCTCCCTGACAGGACCGGCGGCTGTAGCCGCGCACGAAGCCCACGTGGCTGTCGCTACAGGCGAAGTCGGGCCTCCACACCAGGGAGCCGTACCCGAAAATCCACAGCACCGGGGGCTGCGCGGGCGGGGAGGCGGGCGGCGAGGCAGGTGAGGTGTCCTGGGCTGCGGATGCCTGCTTCATGGTGCCGGGCACAGGGACGGGCCCGGACATCCTCCGGGCAGGTCTCCGGCGCAGGCACAGAAGGACCGACGGACACGCACACCTGGCCTGGCACCGCTGAGTTGCTCCAGCTCGCATGTCTTCTTAGGGCCTCCATAACGAAACAAGATTAAACAGCCCAGGTCCCAGGCTGACAGAGCTGGGGGAGCAGCCCAGGTCCCAGGCTACAGAGCTGGGGGAGCAGCCCAGGTCAAGTCCCTCCAGAGCTCACTCTTTTTTTATTGATTTCAGAGAGGAAGTGAGAGAGAAACATCAATGATGGAAGAAAAGCATTGATCAGCTGCCTCCTGCACGCCCCCTACTGGGGATGGAGCCCATAACCCGGGCCTGTGCCCTGACCAGGAATCCAACCGTGACCTCCTGGTTCATAGGTCGATGCTCAACCCCTGAGCCCCGCCGGCCGGGCCAGAACTCACCCTTACCCAGCAGCCCAGGGTTCTGTTTCAGAGACAATCGCCAGTTGGGCAGGGACGTGCCGTCCTCGCAGCGACCACTCAGAACCAGCTCTCTCAGAGTGCAGCTGGCCTACCTTCCTGCAGCTACACTGGACGCAGGCAGGCCTTCCAACAGGACGCCCCTCTGCTCCGAGCTCCACTCCTCTCCTCTGTACCCGGCTACCGCCGCTTACATTGCCCGTCTCCACGGAAACATCTACTCCAGGTCACCTGCGGGAACCCCTACTCCCCGCCCAAGGCCACTCGAGTGTACGTACTGTTTTACCTCTCTTCCTCTCTTCCTCTCTTCTGCACGCCTGCCCGCTGGGGTGAGGAGGGGGTATAGGCCATTCTGGAGATTCCGGAGCAGAGCTGCTGACTCCGCCCTAGCAGCCCGGCGCAGGTGGCTGTGCAGCCCGAACGTGTGCTGCCCTGGGCTGCTGCTCAACCAGTGACTGTGCTTTCCTCTACCACCCTCTGCCCCAAACGAAGCACACGCACTCTTCTGGAAGCTTCCGGAGGAGTGGTGTCTAAAACTGATTTGCGAGCAAGTGAAAATAAAGAGCAACTATACAGTTATAAGCTAGATATGACTCTTGCATTTTTATTTTTTTAACTTAGTTGTATTGATTTCTGAGAGGAAGGGAGAGGGAGAGAGATAGAAACATCAATGATGAGAGAGAATCATGGATCAGCTGCCTCACCCTGGGCCTGGGCCCTGACTGGTAATCGAACCGTGACCTCCTGGTTCATAAGTCGCTGCTCAACTGAGCCATGCCAGGTGGGCTAACTCTTGCATTTTAAAATATATTTGGGGATATTTTCATTTGGATGTGATTTTCGTTACCCAAAACACTGTGCATCCATAAAAACTCTAGCTGTCCAAAAAAGTGTGTGTGTGTGTGTGTGTGTGTGTGTGTATGTGTGTAGGAGGGCGATATATTTAAAAACCTCTCAAATGAAATGTTTGTTGGTTTGGGGCCCACTGTTCCACATGTAAAAATGCAACCTATTCCAACTAGTTTGCGAGAACAGCTTCTGGGACAACAGGAAATGGAATGTTAATTAAAACCGTAAGTCAGTGTCGCTGGGAAATGTCTTAACGAGTGTGACTGAGTCATGGCACCGGGAATTTCCTCCCGTTTGATTTACGTCTTCTCCGGGGTGTTTTTCCATCCGCAACATCCACATCGTTAAAGCAAAGCGCTGACCATCCCTCCAGAGAACCCAGCGCTCCGCCGGGAGGATGGACTACAAACCCCGGGGGCTTCGGCCGAGCCCGGCCTCCGAGCTGCCGCCTCTGCAAACTCATTCCACGTGCTCCATCTCTAATATTTAGGCGCCACCGTGGACAGCTACGCATTTGGGTGCTTATTCCACGTCTCACCGTTTACATGTTTTGTGTGTGTGTTTTTATTTTATTGATTTTTTACAGCGAGGAAGGGAGAGGGATAGAGAGTTAGAAACATCAATGAGATAGAAACATCGATCAGCTGCCTCCTGCACACTCCCCACTGGGGATGTGCCCACAACCGAGGTACATGCCCTTGACCGGAATCGACCCGGGGCCCCTTCAGTCCGCGGGCCGACGCTCTATCCACTGGGCCACACCGGCCAGGGCCGTTTACATGTTTTTATTTTCATCAGCTATGAAGGCACTTAAATAACCGCCTGAATGGCGGACGCAAGTGATGACCGATAAGGGTGGGCGGTCCCCGGGCCTCCCCGTGCTCTCCCGCCCGCTCGCCCCGCCCCCGGCCGCCCCGAAAAC